ATGTCCCCGTGGGGCGGCATGGCCTCACGGCCCTGTGACGTCACCTCAACCGCCAAATCCCTGTGCGGCAGCGGCGCCTCACGGCCCCGTGACGTCACCTCAACCGCCAAATCCCTGCATGACACCAACGCCTCAGAGCCCGGTGACATCACCTCACCCACCAAATACTTGCATGGCAGCAGCGCGTCACAGCCCCGTGACGTCACCTCAACCGCCAAATCTCAACGCCTCAGAGCCCGGTGACATCACATCAGCCACCAAATCCCTGAGAGACTGCAACACATCACAGCTGCATGACATCACATCATGCCCCAAGACCCTGTGCAACAGCCGCGTATCACAGACTGCTGACGTCATATCACTGCCCCAAACTCCTCAAGTATTTCCTGCAAGAGTCATAGTCATGCCGATTTCAGGAGACCCCAGCCCAATCCTGGGGGCAGGGGCAGCAGACATAATAGGTGGGGAAGGCATTGCCTTCCCAAACTGCCAGCCTGGCTCCACACAGACTCCGCCCCTGCAACACCATGCTCCAGGGAGGCTGGGGCCACACGTTGCCCACCCTCGTGTGCTCCAGAGCTTAAGAGTCTGGGACTGTACACCACCAGCTGGAGAGCTTCAGACCCCATGCCACCCGCCCTCCTTGTGCTCCAGGGTGGGAAGGCTGAGGCCACCCATCTTCCCAGTGGTGCTTGTCTCCCCCAGCCATAACTTCACCCACCGCCCATGCCCAGAAGGTTGGTGGCCTCAGTGCGACCCCAAGCATTCATAGAATCATAGGAGATTAGGGTTGGAAGAGACCTTGGGTGGTCATCTGGTCCAACTCCAGCTATAAGATTCCACCACCTGCCTAGGCAGCCCGTCCCAGTGCTTTGCCACCCTCCGAGGGAAATAGTTCTTCCTAATATCCAGCCTAGACCTTCCCCACTGCAACTTGAGACCATTGTCCCTTGTTCTGTCCTCGCTGAGAGCAGCCTAGTTCCATCTAGGGATGTAAAATCTGTTTAATCAGTTAACTGGAGAACCACTTAAAGAGGGTGGGGGAGCAGTCGGAGCCGTTTCAGCCCAGCTGGACTGTCCTGGATCCCCTGGAGCAACTCTGCCTGGGTACTACTCTGGCCAGGCCGGTGGTCTGGCTGGGCTGGAGTGCCCTGGCTTGTGATGTGCCAGTGAGGTCCATGGCGCTGCTCCAGCCATGCTGCCTGCAAAAGCTGATGCCCAAATAAATTTTAGTCTTTATGTTGCCCCAGGGCTCTTTGTTGTTCCTCTTACAGTCATGTCATGTGGTTTCAGAGTCTTTGACGCAGGTAGGTTTTCAGGTTTTCTTTGCACCCAGGGTGCCAGACAGTGACTTTTTTTTTACAGACAGTGACTTTTTTTTACAGACAGTGACTTTTCTTAAAAAGACTAACGCCGAGATTCTCCGCCCATCAGGGTGCTCCAGCAGCTGGGGCTTTAGCAGAACCAGTCCCTAGGGCGGCTCCCCACACATCAGGAGAGCTAGCAAGCTGCACACACGCTTCTTCCCCCGCCCCTGCCCTGAATCCCCCTGCTTGCCCTACCGTGGGCGCCTCATGCCCCCCCCGCCCTGCCCCAGTCCCGAGCTCAGGGCAAAGGGCAGACTAAGGGCAGCCGCTTCACGGGAGCGTCACACGCCCAGTGCGCATGTGCAAACGGCGCGCCCATGCGCAGTAGCGCCACATCCGCCGCCGGTGGGGAGGTCAGGCGGCTGGGTTGCCTGGCGGCCCCCTGGCCGCCGTCTGCCTGG